TCCTAGGCAGCCCCGTGATGAAGTCGAGGCTAATATCTTCCCATGGGGCCTTGGGGATGGGCAGGGGAAGATACTTTCCTTGAGCTAAAGAACGGCTCTTGGCTGTTTGGCAAAGGTTGCACCGTTTGATGTAGTGCTCCACGTCTCGTTCCATCTTTGGCCAATAGTAGTGTTCACGCAGAATTATGTGGGTCTTCTCGATGCCAAAATGCCCTGCTAGTCCTCCTCCATGTACTTCTTCGATGAGGGTTTCACGAAGACTACATTTTGGAATGCATAACTGATTTCCTCAGAACAAATAACCGTCCTTAATGAGGAATTCTCCATGGGGCCGCACAAGACACCTTGAAAATGTGTCTTTGAAGTCTTCATCCTCCTTGTATAGCTCCTGCACAAAATCAAAACCAACAATTTTGGCACTAAGGGCCGTCAGTAAGAGGTGTCTCCGGGAGAGGGCATTGGCTCCTTTGTTCATGGACCCATTCTTGTGCTTTATGGTGAAGGTGAAGGTCTGAATGTATTCGACCCATTTGGCATGACGGGGCCTGAGTGTGTGTTGCCCTTGAATGTACTTCAAGGCCTCATGGTCGGAATGAAGTATGAACTCCTTGCTAACCAAGTAGTGACACCAATGTTCTAAGGACCGAACAAGAGCGTAGAACTCCTTATCATAAGTTGAATATCGCCTTCTTGTATCATTCAACTTCTCGCTGAAATAGGACACCGGGTGGCCTTCTTGGTTGAGGACAGCCCCTATCCCGACTCCGGATGCATCGCATTCTACCTCAAACAGTTTCTCAAAGCTCGGTAAGGCTAACACGGGGGCGTGTGTCAGCCTTTTTTTGATGGTTTCGAAGGCTTGTTGAGCTTTTGGATTCCATTCGAACTTCTGGTTTTTGGTGAGATCCGTGATGGTTCTAAAGTCACGCACAAACCTTCGGTAGAATGAGGCTAGACCGTGAAAACTCCGTACTTGTTGCATCGACGTGGGAATGGGCCAATCCCTTATGGCTTGTGTTTTCCTTTCGTCCACCTTGATACCATCACTCGAGATAAAGTATCCCAAGAATTCCGTTTCTTGAGAGAAGAATTGACTCTTCTCCAGATTCCCATAGAGCTTCTCTTCGTCCAATCTTTTAACCACTAAGGTGAGGTGGTTAATGTGCTCTTCTTCACTCTTACTGTAAATCAAGATGTCGTCAAAGTAGACTACGACAAAATGACCTATATATGGCTTCAAGACTTGGTTCATCAACCGCATGAATGTGCTCGGGGCGTTGGTCAGCCCAAATGGCACAACCAACCACTCGTAGAGGCCAAACTTCGTTTTGAACGCGGTCTTCCATTCATCCCCTTCGTAGATACGAATTTGGTGGTAACCACTTCATCTCTTCATCAAAAACCACTCCATAATATTTCTTTTCTCCTGCCCTTCATTCTGCCATATCACCTTTTCCAAACATCCATACTATCTTCACCATTTTATGCTCAAATCCCACCTATTCTTCATCATATATTCCCCTCTATAATCTGTCCTTATTTATCCATAGCCTTTTCCTAAGCTTGAGTACATCATTTGGTATCATAGCTAGTTGTTACTCATCTCTCAAGGACCATACACACTTCCCCAACTCCCTCCCTAAATTCGTCCTGACCACATTCAATCCCTACTCCCACTTCATCCCTTTTCCTATCAACCATGTTAAACCGATCCCGAAGCATGTCTCATGAAGAACTCGTAGCCGCAAACGCTGCCTTGCAAGCTCAGGTGGAATACCTGGCCAAAGAAGTGGCTAAGCTCACAAAGCAAAAGATGTCCATGTTGCAAGATAGTGAAGATGAAGAGGAAGCTAGCTCTAGTAACACCATGAGAGCTAGGGCTCATGAAAAGTCCCATTCAGACTTCAAAGTTGATACTCCAACCTTTAAAGGGAAGAATGACCCAGATGAATTTCTTGAGTGGTTAGAGACAGTGGAACGAGTCTTTGATTTCAAAGAAGTCTCCGACGACAAGAAGGTCAAGATTGTGGCCTTAAAATTCCGCAAGTACGCCTCCACTTGGTGGCTAACACCTGCACCAAACGGAATCGAAGTGAGAAGCCTCTCGTTGACTCATGGCAAAAGATGAGGAGTCTCTTGAAGAAGAAGTTCCTACCCACTGAATATTCCCGAGAGAACTTTGCTAAGCTTCAAACGCTTAGGCAAGGTACGAAGTCAGTGGAAGACTACACCCGGGAGTTCGAGGAACTCCTACT